AAGGGCATTCAGAACAAAGCCAAGGTGCTTTAAAACTGCATAAACATCTAGGCCAGTAGGCCTACAACAAAATAGTGTAAATAAAGACTGTAACAGCCAGGCCTTCAACAACAACAAATGCACCTATAAGTTTGGTAACCTAACGTGTTGTTGTGATGACGTAATCAAAACACGGCGACAAGCACGGCGCGCGACCATGCTCGCGGCTGGCTCACAGCCAACATGTCTGCCGCTTGGAGATATTTCAAAATATCAGAGAAAGAGGCGCGGATTGCGATTTGTAAAACGTGTTCAGCTGACATTTCTCGAGGGGGTGTAACTGCAAAGACTTTCACCACTTCGGGATTACTCCACCACTTGAAATCAAAACACCCGGACAAATATGCGGAGTAAGATCAACGTAACCCTGTTCTCTGACATTCGGTGATATTTTTTCGGTGCTAAGCCAGTACTGCTGGGAGTCCCAGCAGCTTCTACTGAAGCCAGTCCCCAACTCCGGGGACTCCGGGTGGCAGTATACGCCGTGAAGTTGTTTGCGGTCTGCCAGTAAACCCGAAGAAGAAGTGACGACAGCGGCTTCATTTGCCTAATTCTCCCTCAGGGACTAATTCCGGTGTGAACGCGATCTGTACTTAGTTCATGAGAACTAGAGTTGTCATGAACTAAGTTCTCATGAACCTTTGTGGGAAAAGTACTGCGGTGTGAATGCGCCTAATGTGAGCAAATTACTCTGAATGCTGCAACGCAGCACCTGAGATTACTTCCAAAAAGTTGTTCACGTTCTCAATTTTTTACGTTTAACGTTATATTCGTTCGGTACACACGTGTACCGAACCGAAGGGCCCGTACCGAATAATTTCAGTGCGTGTACCGTTACACCCCTATTATCTTATTATTGTGAATGATGAAGCCCCTCTGTTGCAGCTTGATGCCGGCGGTGCTGCTCGCTCTCTCAGACAGGAAGCAGCTGCTGACCAATGAGATCCTCCTGCTGAGCGCGGTCACCGCCCTGCAGCGAATCACAGAGACGCTGCCGCACTTCTTCAGCCCTTACCTCCAGGAAACCATCACACAGGTAACACACACACCTGCACGAAACCACCACAATGGTAACACACACACATATCTGCAGGAAACCACCACAAAGGTAACACACACACACCTGCAGGAGACCATCACACACACACACACACACACACACACACACACACACACACACACACACACACACACACACACACACACACGTAACACACACACACACGTAACACACACACACACTCACACACACACTCACACACAGGTGACACACACAGCTGCAGGACACCACCACACAGGTAACACACATACCTACACACCAGGGTTTCCGCTAGGATTTCTTCTTGCCGGTCAAGTGTCCGGAAATAATTCATTTTACCGGACAAATTCGAAACTTACCGATCAGTTTTCAATAATAATAATAATTGTGTAGCAGAGTTTCCGTTGGCTGGTAATGACCGGTAATGTATGCTGATGTTTAAAACTCAGTTAATTTGGCTCATTCAGTTTAGAATCGTAACAGATCGAAAAGTTCAGATTCATTTTTCAATAAATGATGCGCTTCCACAAACAAAAAACAACATTTTTACATTCAAACAAACTAGTTATAGTAGATGAAGTACATTTTTTACATTAACTTTGGATAATAACATGGGAGAAATAAACGGAACCTCTCTCCCTCTCCTGACAGCCGGTCCGTCTCATGCAGCTCACTGATCCAGTAATGAGTGACCCGACAGTGAAGAATAAACATATTTATAAGTAGTTTAGGTTGTTCCAGAGGTAGATAAAATAGCTAAGTGTGTTAGGTCTAACTTGAAGTGTGTGTTTTGCTCCGCTCACCGGTCCGTCACAGCTGGCGGAGCTGCAGGTGATCGTGCAGAGCTGCGTGTCTCCGTCAGCAGCTGATCCTGATATCTCTTTCTGCTTCAGACACGTTGCATATAGCAATTTTATTGTCTTTTTCGGACACCTTGAAAAACTGCCACACCGTGGAAGCCTTTTTGACGAGCTTCTTTTGCCGCGCACAGAGAAAAGTTTCATGTATTTTGAATCATCTTATCGGCTCTCCTGATCAGCCTTTATAGAGCGCACCGATCAAACTATTAAGAGTGAATATCGGCCTATAATGATTGGCAGCCAATCGATCGGATCATCCTTAAATATTACCAGACATTTTGACTGGCTTTTGACCACAATTTACCGTTTTTAAAATATATTTTACCAGCTTAAAACCGGTAATTACCGACTAAAGTCCGCTACACATCAACCTGAGGCAAAAGAACGCGTACCGAAGGCGTCCCGACTTTTACGTCCGCTACGTCGCCTACGCCGCCCGCCCGCCTACGAGCACACCGCAAAGACTTCAGTCAACGAGTGGCAATAACTGTCCTTACCAGCAGGCAGCGGTAGTGTGTATTCGTCATTCAAAAGGGGCAACAGCCAATCAGAGTGATTTCTTTGGCCGATGTTGAATCGGCCGCGGGAGGTGTGAAAATGTGCCGTAAAGCAACGGCGGTGCGGGACACACCAACCTGAGTAGGGCGCCGCGAGTGCCCGACTGCCTCTGAGGGCCTCTGACTCCCAAAATCGGGTAGGTGTGTCAGGACCTTAACGTAAACCCTGCTACACACAGCTGCTCACATCTGCAGATCACACATCTGCAGACTTTTTTTTTTTTTTTGTTGATGAGTTTTCTAAAGGTATATTTTCCTCTTCCTGCAGGTGTGTAGTTTGACTCGTCTGGTGGAGTCTTACTCTTCCTCCTCGTCTTCCTCGGCCGGCGCTCAGCTCTCCTCCCGTCTCTCCTCCCTCCGGGCGACCCTCGCTACCAAACTGCCCCCCCGAGTCCTGCTGCCCACCCTCACCAAGTGCTACAGCAGCATGGTTCTCGACAGACAGGTAAATATTGATAACGGAAAGATATATATTATTAATTATGTTTTAGTATTTATTAGTATGAATTATTGTGTAGTATTATTTATTTGTGTTAATAATAATAATTAATTATCGTTTATTATTAATTAATTATGTTTTGATGCTGTGTGTTTCAGGGCCAGCTTGGGGCGCTGCTGAGCATCCTGCAGGAGCACATTGGTCACATGGAGAGGGAACAGCTGAGCCACCACCAATCAGAGCTCACCTCCTTCTTCCTGTCCGCCCTCGACTTCAGAGCGCAGCACTGCCAGGTAGCAACACATTGAGGGCAAAGCCCTGGAATGGTTCATATCTGAATGATAGAACTTTCTGTGTCAGCCATGGTGACTCTGAGTTAGGGCTGGGCGATATATCGAGTTTTGAATTTATATCGATATATTTTCATGCGCGATATAGGATTACATCATATCGTATATATCGATATATATTAAAACAAGCTGCAAGTTGCTGCAAACTCCGCTGCAAACTCTCTCTGCCCCGCGGCCCGCCTCTCTGTATCTCCAAGCAGCAGCAACGGCGCCCTGCCGCCTCCCCCTCACTACCCCCTCGCCCTCACCCCCACCTCCCGACATTTGCATGAAGAAGCATGGCAGCAGCAGCGAACAATCCGGAGATAGAGGAGGAGACAGAAAGGAGAGAAGGTGATACAGAAAACGAGGATGAACTGGTTGTTAAGAAGAAAACAAACGGCTCTCTCATTTGGAGATGGTTTGGTTTT